GCCCACACCTGTAACCTGTCTAGGTCCGACTGCAGCCTATTCCTCCCTTCTAGCATGCCCACTTCCCCCCACATCTTAGTGTTGTCTGCGAATTTGAAGAGGGTGCTTTTTATACCCCCAAGTCGCTGCAGAAGATGTTGAACAGTGCGGGCCCAAGGATGGATCCCTAGGGGACCCCACTCCCCACATCCCTCCAGGTCGAAAAAGACTCGTCAACCACCACTCTCTGGGTGCAGCCCTCCAGCCAACTAGTGACCCATCTAACTGTATAGATATCGATGCCACAGTCTCCTAGTTTTTTAATGAGAATGGAGTAAGAGACAGTGTCAAAGGCCTTCCTAAAGTCCAGAAAGACTATGTCCACCATGACACCTGCATCTAAGGATTTTTTGACCTGGTCATGGAAGGCCACCAGGTTGGTCTGACAGGACCTGCCTCTAATGAACTCGTGTTGGTTGCCCCTAAGCATAACCTCCCCCATTGGCCCCTCATGGACATGTGCCAGGATAATTCTCTCAACAAGGTTACCGAGGACCGAGGTAAGACTAACTGGCCTATAGTTTCCTGGGTCCTCCTTCTTTCCTTTTTTGAAGATGGGAACCACATTGGCCCTCTTCCAGTCCTCTGGCACCACACCAGAGCACCACAAGTGCTCGTAAAGCTGTGCCAGGGGTCCTGCAATGGCCTCAGCTAATTCCCTCAGCACTCTGGGGTGGAGATCATCCAGACCAGCTGATTTAAATATGTCCTGTCCCTCCAGAAGTTCCCTGACTAGGTCCTCACTGACCCTAGGCCTGGGTGTGCTCCTCTGGGGCCTATGGGGGTCTTGGTGTGGGGGGTGACCTGGTCCCTGCTCAGAAAAATGGAGGCAAAGAAATTGTTAAATGGTTAGCTTTAGCAATGCCTGGGGAGAGTTGGGTGTCCTAGAACAGGATCCACAAACCCCCACCCCGCTGAGTGGGGAGTGACGTCTGAAATCCCATGCTTCTCTGGGGCTTAAGTACCTTATTCTTCTGGAAAGTAATCTCCTGCTACCTAGAGTCACAGGCTTGAAACCTCTCCTGAAAGTATGCCCTTAGGCTTTCCTCTTTAAAGATGGCCAAAGAAGGAAGTGCCTCCCTTGTATATAAGAACTCAGCGGTCACAGCATTCATCTGAGATATAGGAGCCCCTAGTTCAACACCAGTGCCCGAGGCAATGCAAAGCCTCTCTCTTGTCTCCCAGTAGTATGCTATAACTAGCTATTTTAGGTGGTGGCTGTAATGAGGATTCTCTCATTCTTTTCTGAAGCTCTTCAGTTTTGCATGGAGGAATTAACTGAGAGAGAGAAAGAGCATGATCCTGAAGCAATCTGGGTGGGAGGGAGGCCCTGGGCTGCTCAGCCCTGAAAGGTCAAGGCACTTCAGAGCCTTAGCAGAAGCAGAATTTATGTCCAGCAGAGAGGCACTTGTGGACTTCATGCTAGCTGGGGGTTGTGGACATCTCAATTTATCTTTAGTGATCCAAATCCCACATTAGCTTAAGCTTAAGTCTAGGCCTAAGCTTCTTGGGAAATTCTTGGGTCTTTTTGGGTATTTGTCAAGTGGCAGGTAAAGTCTAGCACTATATAAATATTATAAATAACCATTCCTTTCACTTATAAAAAAGGAAGTTTTGATTGTGCATAAAGCTAGGCACACCTTAGTTCATGCAGTTAAACAGTGAATATCCCTTTCTCTTGTATATGCTAGAATCAGAAAACCATGGCCCCAGTTCTGACTCCCACTCCTCTTTTGCACTGTTGTCAGGGTGCAAAGCAGAGGGAAAGCTGTCTACCCTAAGACCACTAATTCTAAATAAACCACTGAACTACAAGTCACTATGACAGGACCCTGGTTTTCCCCGTTTAAAAACTGCAAATTCTCTGATAACCACAAATTCTACGATTAAAAACCCAACAATCCCTCATTCCCCACCCACAGCCCCTCCACCTCTGCTGGTGCCCCTCACTCACCAACCACAGCCCCCAAGCCCTGCCGGTGCCCCTTGCTCACCATTCACAGCCCCACCCCTGCCCTCCAGCCCTCCCGGAGGGACCCCCAGCTGCCAGGGCTATGAGGCCAGGGATCTGGGTCCACAACCCCCTTACCCCCACAACAGTGTTTGAGCCCCGGCTGCCACCTGTGGGAGGCAGTGGCTGTTGCAGCGGAGCAGAGTGTGGAGCTCAGTCCCCCCTCCTCCATGGGTGGCATGGAGTGGAAGGGCAGGTGCGGGCTTCCCACTGTGTACTTGGGGCTTTCCACCCTGCTGCCCTGGGTCCCACCCTGTGGTCCAATGGGTTGGACCCAGAGTGGCAGGGCAGAGCGGGGAGAAGAAGCTTGGTGATGCCACCATGAGCCAAGTGCTGTCATGGCAAGGTGCCCCCTGCCTGCCCAGCAGCAGTGGGGGTGGTGATGTGGGGTTGTGCTGCCTCCTGTTTCCAGGTGGGCAGAGGGCCCTTTGCCATGGTGGTGTGGGGCTCACAGTGGCA